GACAGGCCGGCCCTCCTGGCTGCCAGGGAACACTGTTGACTTAGTAGGAGCGGCTCAGTGCCTGGGTCTTTCCTGGTAGCCTCTAAAGCACCTAATGCTGCTGATAAGATGTAAAGTAAACAGCCCCCGGGCTGCTGCCCTGCCATGTGCCCATCTCTTTTACAAGCAAAGAGGAGAAAATTGTCCTGCAAGTCAGTTCAGCTTCACTTGAGACAAGGAGAGACAATATGCATCATGGACACACCAGGATCAGAACAATGGGCTCACAGCACATCACTTAAGTGTCTTTGAATCAAACATAGTGTAATGCATTATTAAAGCTACTTACTTCTTCTGTGTTCTCACCTCTGAAAAGGTTCAGACTTAAGGCAGTAGGGCACTGCTGTTCTAAGGTGCTCCTCCTTTCTTCTCTTGAAGAAATATTTTTGCTTTCCTTTCACAAATAATTTTTCTTCTGAGCTGCTCATACCTTGGATTGGTTCTGTCATCCAAGCATGTGCACACTAACCACTGCCTTAACTAGTTGGTGGGAAGGGACCTACAGTCTCTAATCCAACACAATCTGTGCTAGGTAGTACTACCACCAACACAAGAGCAAGTCAGCTGTGGCTTTTTCTACAAGTTTGGATACAGACTCCAATACATCTCCAGATAAACTATTCTTGTACTGCAACAAACTCTTAGTGAAAAAAATTTTTACAGCATCCAGCCTGAACAACTCAAGCTAGAACCTGTGGCCATCATCACTTCTTATATCACCTGTCATTTGGATTTGCTGCCTTTGCAGCTCACCTTCAAGTAGCTGTAGGCTGATAGTAGATCATCTGTGAAATTCCTCTTTGCCAAGCAAACAAGCCTAGCTCTGTTAATCTCTTTGTAGGTCACATGCTACCATGTTGGTAGCCCTCCACTGGATCCTCTTTAGTTCCTCCACATCCCTCTTGAACTTCAGGGGCAGGAAACTGTGCACAGCAGTCCAGGTGTGGCTAAGCAGACATGAATAAATTCCTTCAGTGTCTGGCCATCTTCTTCCTAACACAGTGTGGTGTGTGGGTTGCCTCATTCAGAATCAGAGCTTACTGGTATCCATGGCAACTGCCAGCTCCTTCCAGCGGGGCTGCTCCTCAGCCACTCAGTCCTCAGCCAGGAAAGATGCGTGGGGTCACTTTGCCCTGTTACAGAACTTCACTCTCCTTCCTGAGCATCAGAAGGCACCTGTTGACCCAGTCCTTTCATTTCTCAAAGTCCCTCTGGAGTGAAGCTCTTGTTCACATGTCAGTTGCTTACCCTGAACTTTTATCATCATAAATTTCCTAGTTCCTTTTTCCTGTAGGATGACTTACAGACAGTAGGATGACTTACAGACAGTTATTCTCCACCAAAGACAGTCTACCCATTGAGCTGTATGATTGTAGCTATCCAGACAGACACATAAATGTCTCTGACCTTCCTGCTGTGGGCCACACTGAGGCTAAAATACAAGAGCAGCTTTGAATGTTTTATTCATAGGAACAAAAGAATGAAATTATCTGAGCCAGAAGTGGCCAAGGACCCCAGGTACTGATGCAGAAAACTATGGGCAGGTGCCATGGATGTCAAACCCCTGAACCTTCTTAGGCAATGAGCAGCCAGGGCTGTTTGGGGCACTAGCACTCATTCTAGGAAATGGAGGAGGTTTTTATTTGGTTTTCTATAAATATAGACATGAACTTCTGCCAGGTTGTTTGCATTAGGTTAATATTTCTGTAGTGTACAGGTGTTACTATGAGCTGTGAATGTCTGCTGCCTGTCTCTAGCACCACAGAGTGTGGTGCTGTAAATATTAGCCCAGGCAGAGAGTGTTTGCTCAGCCCTCCTCCGTGCTGCCTCCCCCAGCAGTACTCTGATAGTGCTCCTGACAAACGGCCCAGGCTCAGCATCTCCTGCACTGCACAGCAACATGCTCTGGTTTTGTCTCAAGGAGGGTGGTAGTGACCAAATCCTGACAAAAGCAGCAGAAGCACCAGTGTGCTACAATCTTCATCAGATTAGTACTATACAGAATAAGGTATGACTAAGTAACTCAGTACATACTGCAAACTGTGGTAAAACCCCTTCTTCACTGGCTGTGGCAGTCGTGGATGTAGAGAAGAAATGTCTCGCACATCACCAGAACTGCTACTTGCTTTAATACAGTGATATACAGTGATTTCAGAGGAAAACTAATGATTTTTGTTCTCAAAAGGGATCCCCAGTAATGGAAAGGACTGTCCATTGCAGTTGATCTGAACAGAAGAAGAAACTATCCTGCAGATACTGCAGGGATCTTCCTACTGCCAAGGACAGGAACAACAAATGAGCAAACAGCACCAGCATGGTGAGTTTCACAGAGGACCCTGTATGCACCTCACACAGAGTACATTTTGGTAAAACAAAATACTGGCAAAGATCTGACAAAAATTTACTTACTATGAGCCTTAGTCACACATCTATTTCAGAGAATTATAGAATCATGTAATCATTGAGGTTGGAAAAGACCTTTAAGATCATGGAGCCCAGTCATTAACTTGGCCACTGCCAAGACCACCAAGCGCCCCGTGTACATGTCTAATAAATCCCTCCAGGAGTGGGGACTCCACCACTGCCCTGGGCAGCCTGTGCCAGGTCTGGACAGTGCTTTCTGTGAAGAAATTCTTCCTGATGTCCAACCTGAATCTCCCCTGGCACAGCTTGAAGCTGTTTCCTTTTGTCACATCCCTTGTTCCCTGGGAGCAGAGTCTGCCCCCCCCTGGCTCCACTCTCCTGTCAGGGAGTTGGAGAGAGGTAAGAAGGTCCCCCCTGAGCCTCCTTTTCTCCAGGCTGAGCCCCTCCAGCTCCCTCAGCTGCTCCTGGAGCATTCCCTGAGGTTGTTGTTACCTAAGGGCAGGATCCAGCACTTGGCCTTTTTGAACCTCATGCAGTTGGCCTCAGCCCACAGACCCAGCCTGTCCAGATCCCTCTGTAGAACCTTCCTACCCTACTACAGCCACCCAGCTTGGTGTCATCTGTCATCACAGGACCTTACATGAACCCGCAAAGAGCAACAAAGACAACATAAAGCACAGAACTGGGGCTAAAAGCTAAGGAAATCAGATCAGAGTTGATCGCTGTTTATGTAGCTGTTTGAGAAGGTCAAAGGCCTGGACCTTGCATGGAATTAGAGAAACTGATTCCTGACATATTTTACATTACCCTGGTAGATGACCCTCACAGGTCAGAGCTGGCCTATACAATTTCAGATGGAAAGAATGATGAAAGCCTCAGTCGTGAGAGACTGGTAATTATCCAACTCTCTGAGACCTTTAATGAGGTTACAGTGCTGGTAACCTCCGTGTGGGGAGGGAGAACTAACCAAATAACTCTGTATGTCATGGGCCCTAGGCAGAGACACACAGAAGTCTGCAAAATCAAGAAAGGGACCCTTCCAATGCAGTCACAGGTTGTGCTGGCTATTGAAGAGCCGTGAATTGGCCAGCCCTTTGCCAGACATCAAGTTAGAGCTCCTTTACTTGGCCACTTGCCAAGGGAACTCGAAAACACAGTTACACATTCAGTATGGAAAGGCGAATTTTCCCTTTCCTTTTGTATCTGCTGCAGAGCGTAATTCAAAGCTGAGTTAGTGAATCATTTCAGAGGGCTTTGGGTGAAGATTTATAATCACAGAATCAGAAAAACAATCTGGAAAGGAACTTGAAAGATCCTCTACACTGTTCTCTTGTACCAAGCTGGACTAATCTGTCTACAGCTGTTCTTAAAGGTCCTGAGTACATATGATCTCTTGTTTTTCTTCGCTCCCCACAAAAGTTGTTATCCTGTTGTGGAAAAAAATGTATTAGTCCTTGACAAATCCATCTGGGAGACAAATAGCAAGTCTGTTATTTTCCTAAGGCTTGAAAATTAATTGTTTATATAGCAGAGCTTCCTCTCCTGAGGTTGTCATCATTTTCTATATCCACAAGTTGGTAACACATTCCACAAACTCCCTGTACCACTGGTACTCCTGTAATGAGGGATGTCTGGGCAGCTCTTATCTTTCAGTGCTGTGCAATGGATGATTCTGCATGGTTTTGCTGCCAAGCAGCCTGGAATATAAATGGCAGTGCCCAATTTTCTTTCCTTTTAACCATCATTCAAATTGTGTGGAAAAGATGCTCCTACAGTGTCAAAGTATACAAATCCATGATTGTAGAAGGCAACATTTCTTCTCCTGCCTGTTACTCCTCACAGGTTGCACACTAGTGTACTAATATTCCATCCATATTAGTAATCCAAACATGTCTCTACTGTGCCACAGTCATAATTTGGATCATGATTAAAACCTTTCAGATCTACTTGTTTATTCTTACCATGTCTCACAATAACATAAAGTTCACAGCATCAAGCCAGTCCTTGTTTTTTCATATTGCCATTACAAATAAATCTCTTTGTTTCTAGTTTTTTTTTCCAGCCTAACTCCTCTGTTTCCTCCTCCTGAATGGTAACTGCAAACAATTAATTTGAAAGTTAAAAAGGCTCTATCCCATCCACCATTTTCCTTAAGCTCCTCCAACTATTAAACTTTAAATAGACTTCAAGCCATGGCGAGAATGGTTTTCCTCTCTGCCTTAAGCATGAAGTAGAACCTCCAGCGTTTGTGGACGAGTTGTTCCTATTCAGTAGAGATCTCCCACGGCAGTTCCCCGTAAGCAGTAAGCAGGAGGACTAACCTTTTTCAAAACTGGGGATGAGGAGGGCACCACTGAATTGGATTGTGAATACTTAATGTATTTGCACAGTTATTTCCCTTTCTGTCGGGCTCTGCGGGCAGAAGGGGTAGGTCTCTCTACTCCCACAAACAATCGACCTACAAAAGGTTGGCCTCATTTTCATCTACTAATGTTTGACGTGCATGTGTTGGACCGTGACTTTTTCGCACTGGTTAACGCGATCTTAGGATGCAAACTAAAAGGAAGGATCTGTTCAAAAGAAGCACAGCTGCCTAAATGCCGGCTGGGCTCTCGGAAATGCCTGGGTGCACACGGGCAGCTCCACCGAGGCGGAGCCAGCAACAGGTAAGAAACTGAAACGACACCCTTCACAACAAAGCCAAGAAGCACCAGGGGAATCGAGTCAAAAGCCAGTCAGCATCTCTCGCCTCCAAGAACACTCCTTCTGCTTGACACTTAACTGTCCTTTGCCCAGGTACGCCCCCGAAGGTGCGCAGTCACAGCTCTGCCCTCGGTACCGGGATGCGCTAAGCATCGATAAACAAACGTTCC